GTTACATATCGCCGCGAACGTCGCAGTGAGAGCAATCATTTTAGGGCCATCAATCACTGATAACACTAAACTGATGAGCGGTAACAGCTTTTAAAGCGTCGCCTAGGGCCAATTTTGGGTATTATCGTTTTTTGAGGTTTCGCGCGCGCACGCAATTTTAAGGCTTGACATGTTTAGTGTCTTTTTACCCGACGTGACCCCATCTTTTATATTTTACCAAAAAATTGGGTAATAATAAATGTTTTATCATTTAATATAGGGGAAACTGTTTTTTTTTAAAAAATTTCGGTAATTTTTCCTTAATATAGTAAAAAAATAAAACCCCCAGTGGTGAATAAATACCACCAAAAGAAAGCTCTATCTGTCCCCAAAAAAGGGTATAAAATTAATTTCAGTACAGCGCTGCATGACGGAATAAATGTCAGTTAAAGTACCGCAGCGCTGAATACTGAAAAATGGCCTGGATGGGAAGGGGGTTTAACACCACGGATGTCAACTGGTTAATACAAATTCATTACAATGCTAAATGGAACAACCTTTGAAAAGCTATACAGCATTGAGCAAAGAGACCTAGCCTACCAGTAATCATTCCATGCAGGAATCAATGGACCCTCATCCTCATCAATATCTGCATGGATGTCATATGGATGAGGGGGCAGATCTACTAAATTTGTGTATTCAGTTATTTTACAGTACTTTCAACTATCTCATCTGCAGTCTGGATGTTCAAGACAATGTCGTACAGTTTTAGTCAAAAGAAGTAAAAGAAACAGGTCACCAGCACTCGTTTAGAATAAATATGTCCTTTTTTAATGGACAATTGTGTCACTACAATCAACAGAGCCGACGTTTCGGGGCCGCACAGGGTCCCTTCTTCAAGGCAGTAAAATTGTATGGTCAATCTTTCTGAAGGAAGCAGTGGCTGAGAGGTAGACTTTCACAGCCTGAACCACATCCAGACAATGGGGGGAATTTTCTTTCTGGTGAACTGGAGCCAGACAGAGGGAAGGAAGAATGATATCCTGGTAGAAGTGAAGGACAGAAACTACCTTAGGTAAGACAAAAGTACTGGGCCCCAACACCACCCTGTCCCTTCGCAAAACCAAAAAAGGTTCCTTGCAGGATAAGGCCGCCAGTTTAGGCACTTGTCTCACAGAGGAGATGGATACCAACAGCAGAGAAGGAATACCACCCTGAGGGGGAGAGTATAGAGAGGAATGGGCTGTTTCTGTTTCATAACCCACGGAGTCACAGGGAGAACTATATGGGAGTCTTCCTGTACAAAGGTCTTAAATCAAGAAGTAAGAGGCCTATGGTCTCTAAAACAAGATAGCAAAGTGCAGAAACTGGACCTTGCTCCGAGCCAAATGCTGATCCAGACCCAGCTGTAGAAAGGAGAGGATTCTTCCCCCAGAGAAACTCCTAAGCTAAAAGAGACTCACACCAAGTGAAGTATGCCTTACAGGTCCAAAGATAAACCTCCAGATAGGCGCAGCAAGATGTTGATCGGGAGAGGAGACTACTCAGACAACCAAATACCCTACACCAAGAGGTTGCCCAGGACTCTTACCCAGCCCAACAGGCTGACATCCATTGTGAGAACCTGCTCAAACACAGGAAAGAAGGACTTCCTCAATTCCACAGCCAGATTCCTGAGTCACCAAACCAGAGACAACCTGCTGAAGGAATTGGTCTGTCTAAGGACTAGGCTGTCTTGTCTCATGAAAAACACAATGTAGTTGCTGTGTTGGTAGTGTACGGGACCCAGTGCAAAGAATAGCAATCGCAAATACGCTGGAAAGATAGGGACATGCAGGTACGTGTCCTATATGTCTGCAGGAGGTAGGAAGGCTCGCTTGTGAAGGAAGGCCATGACAGACCAGGTAGATTCCTTGCAGAGTTATTGAGCGTGAAGGAAGACATTCAGTGCTTTTAGATTCAAGATGGGTCAGATGCCCACTTTAAGTTTGGGAACTGTGGAAAGGTTGGAGTAAAACCCATAAAAACAGTCTGCTACAAAAACTAGGGCAATGGCATCTTGATCTAGAAAACCCGATAAAGCTCAATGGAGATGTGGAGAGTCTAAAGGACCCAAGACTGGGAATACCACTGGTAGAAGACTTATCCTCTAGTTTGAGGATAGTGTGCACCATATCAATAACAGCTGAAACAGCCTCTTTTAATTTGGAGGTAATGGCAGAAGACTGACTCCTCAGAGGGAAGCTTGAATGATAAGGAATTCATTTAATCAGTCAGTCCCAGCAAATAATGGTTTAGAGACCACCAAGGCCGTTGGGCAAGTCATATATAATCTGCAGAAGGCATGGTACCCATACATTGTATTGCAGAAAAGACTCAACCCGAGCATGTTACATCAGTGCTTGGTCTCACAGTGTTAACCGCTTTGGTGGTGGAAACTGGTGGGAAAATAGGATTTTTGTACTCACCGTAAAATCATTTTCTCTCCGTTCATTGAAGGACACAGGCAACAGATCGTAGATCCTGAATGGTAGGGTAATATCGCCACCTGCAGGAGAAGGACGCTAGGCACAAAACTAAAGACCAATTACAGCCTAGGGGCGGCCCCTGCCGGTGGCCAAACCCCCCACCTGCTGACAAGTCTCCAGTTTAGTAACAAATACGCCCCTTAACGGCTTACGCCTGAGTCACAACAGTACGTATCCACCAAGAGATGGTAGCCGCCGACGCGGCCCGACCCTTACGAGGACCCTCCGTGAGCACGAACAGGGAGTCGGTCCCGCGGAAAGAAGCCGTAGCTTCCAAATAAACACAAAGAGTGTGAACCACATCCAAACAGTGGAGCGCACGCTCCTTCCTATGAACCGGCTTTGGACACAGGGAAGGTAAGACAATGTCCTCATTCAGATGTAATGCCGACACAACCTTCGGCAGGAACGCCGGCCGAGGACGGAGAACCGCCTCGTCCTGATGCAAAACCAGCATTGGGGACTTGCAGGACAAGGCAGCCAACTCCGACACCCGCCGAACGGAAGTGATGGCCACCAAAAAGGCCACTTTCTGTGACAAAGATATAAGCGGAATCTCCCGAAGAGGCTCAAACGGGGATTCCTGCAACACCGAAAGCACGAGATTCAAATCCCACGGAACCAAAGGCGCGCGGACAGGGGGAGCAATGCGTGTCACCCCCTAAACAAAGGTGCGAACCAAAGCATTAGACTCCAAAGGCCGCTGGAAAAGCACCGCCAAGGCCTAGATTCGGCCCTTCACAGTACTCAAGGCCAGACCCTGAGCCACCCCGCGCTGCAGGAACGCAAGGATTCCGCTGATGGAGAAGAGCCTCACACCAGGGCGCGCTCTGAGCATAGTGGATATGACCGCATCGGACAACCCCCGGTCCTTCAGGACCTGGCTCTCAATAGCCACGCCGTCAAAGCCAGCGACTGTAAATCAAAACGAAGATATCCTCACACGTCCACCCAAACAAAACACCCTGATGTAACATTCTAGCCCACTCCGAGTCTGAGAGACCAAGGCCGAAGCCAAGACCGGACGCATGAGAGCGCCCGAGAGAGTACAGGGACCGCAAAAATTTAAAGGCAACCTAATAACTTGAGGTAGCTCCTGATGCCCAAAATGCTAAGCCCACAAACTAACAGGGTTATTCACAAAAGGGTGAAGAGTTTGGAGATGGCAGGAGAAGTGAACAATCTAGGACAACATAGCTGAACTGGAAAGTGAGCTGAATTGGAGAATTTTTCCAAATCAGCTTTTTTGGCCTAAATTGTTCACTTCTTCTGCCTTCTCCAAACTCTTCACCCTGTAAGTCTTTAGAGACAGGGCAAGCATGAGGCATTGCTAGTGTCTCTCCACCCGAAAAGTGCTCCGTGGCTAGATTTTTACCAGAACAGTCTTGAAAGCGCCCTACATGGAACCCAGTGCCTGAAGGCCACTTCCAGGCTAGCCCCAGGAATGTCCAGTGCAGCAAGGTCTGCATGCGGCACTCCCAAAACCCAGACTGTGGACAGCAATGCCAGATTGCTGCATTGGAGAGACCGGCCCCAGCAGCGGTGTAGAGAAGAGCCTTAATTAAAGAAAAAATGTTCAAGAAATAATGGTGCTAAAATAGTTTAGCCTTTTACACAGCAGAGCTGAAGAAAAGACATGCATCCTCCTAAGACACTAACAAAAACTGAGACATGCTGGTAGTAGGAGGGGTATCCTGGGCTGGCCTAAGGTTTTTTTGTTTGCAAATGTCCATCCTCCTGTAGGTGGCTGTATAACCTGAAGGTGAATGACTTCCTGTGCCCCTCAATGGACAAGAAAGAGATCACAATTATCTATTTAAGTTCATACATAAAAGTGAAAAAAAGAAAGCCATGTTTAGTCTGTCCTACTTCTTTTGTTATATCGTGAGACTATTTGAAATTAGAGTCTAAATCCAGAAGCAGCAGAGAATTCCAAACACTGAATGAAATTGCTTGTTAAATATGTCTTTCGCAGCACAGGCTGGCAAGGTTCTATAATCAAAATAAAGAGAAATGCTTTTTCTTCCTAAGCGCTACTTCAAAAGAACATTCTTGACACTTTAATAAATAGGTTTCTCGGACTCCTGCTCTGATGCATTTTTTACAGAAAAAAACAGAATCTCTGGTCTGAAATATAGAGAAAAAAACAGTGCAGTACAGGATGCCCCATATTCCCAGTACCTGCTACATGGCCCTCATCTATGGCCTTGTGGCTGCTAGGAGCCTGGGAAAGGGTTTATGATTGCTTATCCCTCCTTTAGGCTCCGTTCACACCTAGGCAACAACATTTTTGCTTGTTTCTACGTGCGTTTTCCCGGCATGTTTTTGTGCAGTTAGGGGGAGGGAAGGGTGCTCCGCTGTCCTCTGTGCAGGCCCGGGACCTCAGCAATTCCACCAGCTGACCTCCCCTCTGATCACCAAATTCAGACGTGATCAATTCCGCTTTCAGACTGTCATTTCTCTGGCTTCTTTGGGGTCTCTAGGTGACATTAGGGGGGATTAGACCCCTGATGCCTCCATTAAGAGGACCTGTCACTGTGTCTGTGCCATCACCTAGGGGGCTTATTAGTCCTCTTTGTGATAGCAATAAAGTGTAAGAAAAAAAAGCAAGTTTAAAAATTAAAGGTACACATAAAAAAAATTAAAAGAAACACCCAAAAATCTCCCCGCTCCCACGTAAGGCACGTACAAACTCAAACATGTGTCAGGTGCGCCTATGTGTGAAAACAACAATCACACCACACGTTACATATCACCGTGAACGTTGGAGTGCAAATAATAATTCTAGGGCCACCAATCACTGTTGAGACTAAATTGATGAGTGGTAAATGCTTTTAAAGTATCACCTATGGCCAATTTTGGGTATGGTAGTTTTTTTGTCAATTTTGGAGGGGGAACGCAGTTTTAAGGCTTGACATGTTTAAAGTCTATTTACCCAATGTGACCCTGTCTTTTATGTTTTATCAAATAATGGAGTAATATTAAATGTTTCATAACATAGGGAAAACATGTTTGCTTTTTCTACATTTTTGGTACTTCTTTCTTTATAAAAAAAAAAAAACCCCAGTGGTGATTAAATATCATCAAACAAAAGCTCTATCTGTCCCAAAAAAAGATATCAAATCATTTCAGTACATCACCTTTGTTGGCATTTTTTTCTCACTTTGGCAAAACGGCATTTCAGTACAGCGTTGTATGACTGAATAAATGTCAAAGTACCTCAGCGCTGAATACTGAAAAATGGCCTGGACAGGAAGGGGGTCTAACACCCTTGTCTTCAAGTGGTTGAAATGTCTTTATTAGGGGGGCTTCTGATAAACTTAGCATATCTGCAGTCCTGCAAAGATCACATTGTATCCTGGTTTCCGAGAAATTGACGCCTAAGTTGCAAGACACTATGGCCAAATTCCGCAAGGCTTGGGATCCGTGGGTCTCCAATTTTCTACCACCCAATTTTGATAGAAAATTACTGGAACTCTAACCCCTATGGATTCCCATTCGCTAAACTCTCTGGGATAGTGGGGGCCCCCATGGCCATTCTCGCTCCTACTTCTTTTCTTTTTACATTTAATTTATTTCCCCATTTCCATTTCTCCTGCTGTCGGCTTTTCTTTCATTAATTGTTATCTCTTTGATATCAAAGTTGGTCAACCTGCCTTCTGACTTTGAATCGGGGCTGGACTTCAGTAGTCTACACACCATGTGTTGATATTGCACCTTGATGACCATATCTTGTAATATTGTATATTTTCTTTTGTTAAACTTACCCTGTAACGTGTAAATAAAAATTATTGAATAAAAAAAAAATCTTTATTGGGGTATGGTCCTTCAATTATCAGCAGTGGAATAGGACATCTCCGTACAGCCTGGTCACAGAAAAGCTTTTTCTTTATGCCTTACTAGCTGCATATGCTAAGCAGCCGGTATGTTTGCCTCTGGGAATGTTTTGTCATGCATAACTAAAACCAGTGTGACTATAATAGTAACAGAATAGACCGCTGCTCAGTATGAAAAATCATTCAACAAAACCTCCATATACTATATGCAAAAGAACTGGATAGGAAACTGGCACAGAGATCCAGTGGGTTGCAACATTTTTACCCAACACTATATTGTAACTGAGTGTACGTTAATATGGACCATACTGTGCCTGGTAAGAGCTAGACATAGTGAAGAGACTATGGCATAATGTCTATAGTAACAGCATAGAGTGATAAGGCTTTATAACACATTGGCATAGTCCCCATGCTGACTCATGTTTTTTACATTCACTGCTGCCATTTATATGACCGTAATCATTTTCCATCAGGATGTTAACTTGCCTCATTAGAATAGTTTATGGCCCATCTTTTTTATTTGGTTTTCATTTGTGATTGGGGCAGAAATAACCACTGGCTATGGAAGACATGCCTTTGTACACATGATTTCAGGGTAGTGCCAAGCTTTTACAACAGGCTTTGGCAGAAGTGCAGGATTATAAGTTAATGCAACACTAGTAACCTGCCAGGAATTGTCCAGGCTTTCTTTGCTGACTAATTCAGTTCCTGAAAATAAGGATCTCATTGAGCTCTTAGGGCAGTGGTTCTCCACCTTTCTAGGGCCGGGACCCCTTGGTAACATTTGCCAAGTTGTGGTGACCCCCAACGGTAAAATTTAGGGATGACGCGGCTGCTGCTGCGACATCTGACGGCGTGGCGGGAGAACTGACACTGCTGCGCTAGGAGAGGGCTGAGGAGGACTCTCACCTTATTATTGTTTATTTTTTAATAATTTGTTTCTTATTTCTTTTTAATCGCTTTTTTATTTTTTACATTTCTTTAATAATTTTTTAATCTATTGTTTTCCCACTTAACTTCATTGCTGTCACACAGAGGTAACAAGCCACTCTGTAATAGCAATTGGAGGTGACAGGTTCTCTTTATTGACCCAGTCACCTCCAATACAGGAGTCCTAGCACAGCACTCTGCTGGAACTTCTGTGACAGGTGAGAGGGGAAGACTGCTATCCCCTCTCACTGTGCACACGGAGCGGCAGGTTTACTTTTAACCCTGTCGGGAAAAAAACAAAAAACTTTCTCCTGGAAAGGTTTAGTCAGCTCGATGAGATTTTTTTTTTCTTTTCTGACTGGAAAAAAAAGAGCAGAGAAAGCGCTTCTCTCCTGGGAAGCCGGCTCCATGCTCTCTCGTCACCAGTGATGAGGGAGCATGGAGCCAGCTTCCTGATACAGGAAGTATCGGGCTAGGCATCGGAGCATTTGGGCTAGTACGAGTACTCGCCCAAATACTCGGTATCGGCACCGATACCAGTATCGGTGCATCACTAATAAATACTTTAAAATTCTTAACCCTTGCAGTGGGGCTACCCCTGCACTGCAAGGGGTAAGTGCTGGTTGGTGTCTAGGTTCAAAAAAAAGTTATGAGTTTTTTTTAACCTAGACACAAATGAGCACTTAACCCTTGCAGTGCAGGGGTAGCCCCACTGCAAACAATAAGATCCCCCCCCAGAGTTCTACTTTAAAGCAGCGGGTAAACAACTCTTGCCATAATGTGCACCTCTGTTGCTGCCATCTTCTCTACTTCTTTGGGGTCTGGCATCTTCCTTCTTTGATCTGTAGTTACATTGTGCAAACTAGGTAGGTTTTGTTTGGGCTAATAGGCTTTTATTGTAGAAGAGACTCTGTATGGCCTGCTGTTATAAAAACTTATTTCTGCCAGCAATGTTTTCTTCTTAATGTATGTTTTCTTTTGCATGTTTAGCTCAATGTAAATTGTCAGTGAGCCTTGGGGCCACACTAAATGAACTCTTTTGCACATGCGCAGGGGTTATGTCATCCCAGGCCAGCCAATCACGACGGCTAAATATACCATACCCAGAGCAAGACTGCATATGTGACGGAGCGACAATACTTTGTTACAATTTCTTTTGCTCATTTCTAAACTTTGTACAGATCTACACCGCTGCCCTGAGCCGACTAGGTCAAGAAGCAGTTCTGCAGAAAATGGTCTGAAATCAACCACAAGCTGAGCTGTTCCTACCTGGTATCACTTGTTTCTTTCCAAGTACCACTACAAGTGGATCTCGGGATAAAGAGCTGTCAATTACGCGCCCGTCCTCCAGCCTTCCCTAGAGACAAAAAGAGTCAGACAAATTATATGCACAATCTTTCATCCGCAATGCTGCAAAAATATATATGGGTAAGCATACAGTCACACAATTGGGACTATTCAATAAGGCAATGCAAATGCAAGTTTAACATGCAAAGTGCATTAACCTGCTAGTGCAGACGGTATTAAAAATAGTCAGCATTTGCAGTATTCCTCAACAGGATTGCTGGACAGGAAGTCAGCTATGCCTTTGGAATTTGATATTCTGGTGAGCTTCTGAAAATAATAGAATCCTAGATAAAAACTCTACATGTTGGAAAACAAATACAAATTCGAGTGACATCATTTTTTCCCCAATCATTTACAGTGTATATCTGCACAATGTATAGTAATTAGTAAACATTTATGGAAGAAATACATCCGCTTCACACATTGGAGAGAGCGTTGGTCCTCGTCTCTAGTAATGATATTATTTACGATGTGCTATAAGAGATGGAGAAAAAAACTGCTATTGCATTCTGTAAAAATACATTTAATTGCTATGATATGCTTATCAGAACGCAGGTTGTTGCAATTAACGGCCTTTTTATTGTCGGCAAGATGCCGTGCTTATGAAAATGGCTTGTCTGTAATGTAGATTAATAGGCGCTTCTTCTTTCACAAGAGATAAAAGGCTGATCCTGCAGATTTCGCTTTTTAACTGCTATTATTAACATTAATGTCTTTTTCAAAAGACCCGTTCTGCACTTCACAGCAAACACTATGAGAAAAGAAAAGGAATATTCCAAATCTTTCCCTGACAACAATGTTCAACAATCTTGGAGTGTTTTTAAATAAGAGCAATGCATATTTTCTCTTTTAATATTTATGATTCCCTGAACAACATGACGGTCCAGTAAGATGCAGAAATAAAGTGATCTGGTCACAATTGGAGGATTTTAGTAACAATCTTAAAATCAGCCTCGTCAGTAGGTGGGAAATTTTTCAGCTATTTTGTTTATATCTGTGTTTATACTACAGATTTAAGACTGGGTTGTGTGGGAGATCACAAACCCTTTAACCAGGATCTACTGCCTGTATCACAGCAGCCACTTCACTCTCTGGCACAGTTAGGCCCGGTTCACACCTGGGCGTTTTGTAGCACGTTCGAACGCTCTACAAAACGCTCAAACATTGAAATCCCATTATTTCCTATGGGTATGGTTCACACCTGGGTGTATTACAGGCCATATGAATGTGCTACAAAACGCCCTATGCCCAAAGAAGTACAGGAGCTTCTTTGGGGCGTTTTTGTCACGCGTTTCCATTGGGATATAGCCAAGTAGCCCTTCGTAAACTAAACATGAGAATGTAGACCATCCTAGGAGCAAGCAGCAGAGGCGGAGGGGGGCGCACATTTCCCCAGCACCATACAAGCAATCAGGCAAATGCTTGTATGTAACAGCTTTAAAAAATGTTCATAGTTTCCTGCTGAAAAATGTCCACCCACCCTCAAGTGCTAGCTGGCCAGCCGTTTAAATTACAATGGGCAGACAGCAAGCAGTTGAAAGACCTCCAAACTACAGAACATTCTAGAAGTGCTCCTGAGCACATTTTTAAAGTGCAAAGATTATTCAGCTTCATATACTCAAGTCAGTTCATGGCTATTCAGCATGCAGCAGGTTCGCCGCAAGCTTGCATCAATTTAGAGACAGTTTTAAGACAACATAAACTAGGATAATAAATCTGTTACTCTATGCATTAGAAATCAGGGATGCAACAGTTTAGAAGATGCTGGTGATGCAACCATTTAGTAAATGACTCTTTAAAATCCAGTATAAAATTATTACACTTGGAATGCTGACCTTAGTGGAAGACAGTAGTTACAAAGTTCCTTTAGATCAAGAGTGGAAAAAGACAGGATACATGTCTGTAATGTATTAGCATGTACGTTAAAACTGTGTGCATTTCTCAGTCATGTATAATATATACAAACATATATGACATCGGCACGCACAGCTGCTGGATATAGTCCTCGTACTATTTCAGCTCGAGTCTTGGGTAGTAATCCCTTCTGCAGGCTGCCACAGCCATGAATTAATGTACAGCAGAGATGTAGCAATGCAGCAACCAAACAAGACTGAGGGAACTGCACAACTTTCTAACATTTCCCTTGTGTTCACTCTGTCCCTGCACTGTCACAGCACAAGAGGAGGCTACTACCAAATCATAGATTGCTTGATGGCAATTTGTGGTGTGTCAATATTAGGTTTTATGGTGTGGTGACTAGACACATAGATTTAAAACAAACAGTATGACAGCAGATAAAAGCAGCAGGCTCCCTCTGATTTATCACCTGCCTAGAAACATCAAACCTCGTCTTATTCGTTTTATGCTCTGAAATATTTTATATTGGTGGATCAAGGAACAGAAATTAACATTAGCCGGGTGATTAATAGTACCCCTGGTGGAGCTAGCTGTCACTATGATCCATTTAATCCTTCTCATTATAATCACATTAAAAATCAAATAACGTCCACATTAGGTGCTGTTCACTACTTTAATTTTCCCTTCAAAAAACTGAGGGCTTGCAGGGGTGGGAAAACTCCAGTCCTCCAGCTGTGGTGACTACAAATCCCATGATGCATCTGTCTCTGGGAGTCTGTGGCTCCTGAGGCTCATTGAATGCCTCATGGGATTTGTAATTCCACAACAGCTGGAGGGCCAGAGTTTGCCCACCCGTGCAATACAGGGACCAGGTATAAAAAACGACGGGAAAGGACAGGACGTGAGGGGAGGCAGATAGTGAGATAGTGGAAGGTGAGATAAAAGGCACCTCAAGTATCAGAGGGGAATCTGGAAAAATAGAGCTCTATCTTCATGCATTTCACACATTATCTGCGTCGGTGCGCTGGATGCTATTCATCTTTCCTAGTGCACCTGCGTTGCAGCAAGCCACAAGGCACAGTAATGCATTACCATGCCTTGTGGTGCTCAGAGTTGCTAAAAATAGCCCATGCACGTTCTATTGGTTCTATTCAGTGCGACAAGAAGCCCATTCAAATGAATGGCCTGCCTTAATGCAACACAAAAATGTAAATGAGCCCTCAAAGTTTAAACAGGTGAACTACACCTTACTTTACACTATAATAAATCCAGTCCAGGGCCACTTAGAATTTTACTACATCAGGCCATACAAATGCTTTCTTTGCTGCAGACATAATCCAGCTACCTCTCAAAATCCATTCTTACACATGGGTCTTTCAAATACCAAAATGTTGCCCAAAGGTACATTGGGGGAAAAACACCTGCTGCATTTTGGTGCAAAGACTTGTATTATCCTTTTCAGATCACCAAAATCGGCTCTCTCTCAACACTAATAAAGATACAGTATGTCCAAAATGTATTGACATGACTGGCGAAAGAAAAGCACAAGGCTTGAGCCATATGTTACATTTGATGTATCTCCTTATTTACAACTCATTTTAATACTTTGATTTCAACTCAGGCAGTTGTCAATAAAGGGTTACAGGGTTGCTGTAATTGTTTCAATTCTCATTTGGAGTCCCACAAGTCACACTGCCAACTGCGATAAGATGCATATGCTCATAAGCAGGAACTTGATTATGCAGGTTTGCATGTAGTAGATTAATCACAGCCAATCACAATACGAGCGAATTAGGAGGACGTTTATACAGCTGATCACCGCCGTTAGGGTACAGGTACCAATTATGGATGTGCTAAAGCTGTCCATGTAGCGTACCTAAAGAGATTGTCATGTGTGGGTCAATCTGCATAAAAGGCTGCTTTAGAGCCCTATCACACTTGTGCATTGTAGTAAATTGGTAAAGGACACACTTTACACATTTACAGTGCCATTTATTCTGAATGGCACCCAAATGCATCTGTACAATAAAAATGCATCTGCAGATGTGAATACTCCGCATTGTGGTGTTGAAAATAATGCAGGTGTGTTTTTTCATGTGGTGAGGTGCATTTATAGTCCATTCTAAATTAATGACTGTCTAAATGCAACATGCATGTGTGCATGAACAAAGTTACTGTCACACTACAATAGTATAAATGGGCCACTAGACCTAATTCTGTAATGTTTATTATCACAGGTATTTATATAGCACCAACAATTTACGCAGCGCTTTGCATAGTGCACATTCACATGAGTCTCTGCCCTCAAGGAGCTTACAATCTAATCTCACATACATACGTACGAGGGCCAATTTAGACAGGAACCAATTAACCTACCAACATGTCTTTGGAGTGTGGGAGAAAACCGGAGTAACCGGAGGTAACCCAAGCAAGCACAGGGAGAACATGCAAACTCCTTGCAGGCAATGTCCTGACCACGATTTGAACAGGGGACCCCTAGTGCCACAAGGCTGAAGTGCTAACCACTACACCACTGTTTGACTGGCAGATCTTTTTTCAACCACTTGACTGTTGTGTGCTCTTGCAGTGCAGCTCTAATCCCCAGATGTTATGTGACCATTTTTTATCTGTGCTCTTTTTCCAATGCATACTACACTGACATGCTGTAGCTACAGACATGAACAAATCCCCATCTGACCCCCAAATACCACTATATTAGTGTGCACTAAACAAACTCTTTCCAAAATGAAATAGCGTTGTGATATTTGGCTATCTGGATACACACGTGGCTTATAGGAGTTCCTAACAGCCTTTTTAAGGTAACATGTCTTGAAAACTGTAAGCAACATGACTAGAATATCAATTACTTGTTAAGAGCAGAGCCATACATAGTGCTTCTGAGCAATGGAAATGCTCTTATTATACAAAGAGATTTTCCATTATGTTGGGAAATCACTGTGTGATCAGCCAACAATTATTCCTCATAGAAGGAGAAAATCTGGCACCAAGATTCCAGCAAAGATCTTTCACCAGCAGGGGGGATAGCTGTGTATGCCCCTTCATTAGAATTTTACAGCTACCTAAATTTGGCCATACAAGGGCCAATGTCTGCCACTGGTGCAACTTATTTCAGTGCTCCTGTCAAGTGTGAACAATATATTGTTTGGGATTATAACCTTTAATAATAATCTTTTTAAAAACCCAACCTTTTACTACACAGACACTTTAAAGTAGAGGTGCACCAAAATAGAAATTTTAAAACCGAAACCGAAATAAAAAAATTGTCAGACCGAAAACAAAAATGTTTTTTATTTAAATTTTTTTCAAATATTTTATTTTTATTTATTTTTTATAAACTTTTTCATTTTCTATATTTATTTATATTTATTAATTCATTTTTTATTAAATAATGTTATTTTTTACTTTACTTTTAGGGGCTTCTGGGAAATATTAGGGGTCTAAACAGACCCCTACTTCCCTTTTAAAATAGAAAAAGAGATTGAGGACACAAAGTGCTCAACCTCTTTTTCTGTGTCCCCTGTTATCAATGAACAGGAATCCTCTATGAGTGGTCCTGTTCATTGATAACATGAGGACATGGTATGTTTACTATAAACTACAACTATGAATGAACAGGAGGAGATGTAGATCACTCCCATTCATTCATAATTGAGGATATAGTAAACATACCATGTCCTCAATTATCTACAAACACTCAGCGATCACTGATCACTGAGTGTTTGTACCTTGCTCTTTTCTCTGACACACTGTCACAGGAGGCTGAGTGAGCGGTGCAGGGAGGAGAGCTCAGCCTCCTGTGACAGCGCTGGCTGCCTCCGCCCACACCGCTCTGCCGGCCTGTGATAGGTGGCTGAGCGGTGTGGAGGAGAGACGCTGGCCGCTCACGGCGCTCTCCTCCCGCAGCGCTCGGCAGCTTTTCACACTTTCTCTCCTCCCCGCTGGGACACAGAGCAGTGCCCAGCGGGGAGAAAAGAAAGTAGGGATGCGCCGATGTATCGGCAGGAAAATGACACATTCGGCATTATGCCAAAAGTGTCATTTTCAGCCAAAATATTTTGGCGGACGATATATCGGTGCATCCCTACTTTAAAGTGAACCTGAACTCAAAAGTAAAATTTTGCTTTTTTACCAGTAGAACCCTGGAAATTCTACCTTTTGTCTGGCACTGTTCCTTACATTTAGCAGTCCACTTCCTGGCAGGTGAAGGTGCCTAGATACTCCTGTGCCTACAGTCTCATAGCTGTATGTGAAATCTCATGCACTGCTGCCTCTGACTGCTAATTTCACCAGTTTTGGAGTGAGATTTGGTGATATCATTGTACTTCTCCTTGCTGGCAGCTCTGACGTTAGCAAAGCCTTGCCTCTACCAAGATGGATGCAGAACAATACATGGCAAGTCAGTAATGGGGAAAAGATTAGCTGCAGGGAGATCATAGGCAATAATGGTGACAAGCGCTTTGCCATCTGCCTGGCTCTTTTTGGGTACAACTTCCAGAGTTCAGTTCCTCTGTAAGAAGACTACTCCTGAGTGTACCAGTAGAGTGTAGTCATTAAGAAGATGGGCACAGTTTGCTTTTGTCTGCAACAGAGATATTAAGACAAGAACAGCAGGCAGGTAGAGATCAGCCTATTGTCACTTGAATAATGCATTCCCCATCACACCGCATGCTTTCTCCTGCATCAGACAAAGAAAAGATATGGCACACGCACAGTTTGCTCCATTTTTATGGCAGTCCGCCATAAACTTTCCAACATGTCGAAAGATAACTGTGTAATTAAAAGCATCTCTGCTCTCACAAACACTAAGAGGTCTACTTATAAATGTTTTACACACAATTCATTTTAGCATACATAGTTACATACATACATAGCATTTACCAGGGATTAACACATTTCCTCAAATTAATCAAAATGAGTGGTAGTTGTGTGAACATTCATAAATAGATCCCTAAGTGTCACTCTTTTGTAAACCCCTTTATGGCCTGATTGTCTCCACCTTAGTAAGGTTGTGTATGGCTACCCTTAAGGTGCCATCAGAAGTCAAATGAGCATCCCCAACATCTGTTTTAGTAAGGCTGTGTATGGTTACCCTTATAGTGTCATTAAAAGAGAACTATGGGGTAAGTGTTTTTCCCCATAGTTCTCTTAAGGGTCAGGGGAGAACATATACTAACCTCCTCCCGTGACCCAAAGCTCAGTATATTGCGAGCTACAATGCTGTCGAGATCCACCCAGTTCCATGATTGACAGCTGGCTCTGCCTATATAGAGGCAAAGCCAGCTGTACCCGCCCCCTCCCCCGTCCGTTCCGCCAGTCAGCACTGGAGGATCGGAGCAGTTAGGGGGGAATCCTTGCGCGGAGCCGTGACTGACAGTCACGGCTCTCTGCAGGGAGATGATCGGAAAGTGAGCGAGCAACTGTATGTGTTCGCTCACTTCCCGATCTATTGAGCCAACCTGTGACAGTTTCATTGTCACACGTCAGCTCGAACTATGAGGATGAGTGATTTTCACTCACCTAATAGTTCTCCTTTAAATATGAGATGAGCAATCCACATGTATGTTTTAGTCAGATTGCATATGACACTTAAAAAAGAACTCCAGGCAATTGGAAAATTAACCCTTGCAGTGTTGCAGGACTGAGAATCAGGTCAGTGTATCTTCTTTATTTTAGCCCCTAAACCAAAATGGGCAGTTAACCCTTGCAGTGCAGGTGCTATCATAAATGGGAGGTGCATCCCCTACATCTGTTTCATTCAGACTGTGTATGTCTACTCCTCAGACATGAGATATGCACCCCCCACATCTGTGTTTTCTGCAGGCATCCTGGCTGACAATTCTGGGGGGATACAGATTGGAAAGGTTTGCACACAGGTTTGTTACCCCTCAAATACACCAGTACTGTCTGTCTGACAGAGCCGCTTCACAAAGCAAATTGCCTTGTCATGAATGTAGGGCTGCAACCAACCAATCAATTAATCGATAATAGTCGATTATAGGAATAGTTGTCAACTATGCCCAACATCGATTAGTTAGTTGGATCCCCTAGCTCTCTCCTCCACGCTGGGAGGAGGGCACCGCAAGCAGTGGGCGGGTGCAATAGCCAGCCTGCTATTGACAATTGAAATTGCCAATAGCAGACTGGCTATTGCACCAGACCACTACCTGTTGTATTTACATTCAGCTGCCGTCTTTGGAATCTTGCCACTGTCAGCTGTCATTCCCTGGCTGAAGCTATTCAAGCTCCATGTGCTTACAATACAATTATTGAAAAAAAAAAAATCATTTTCGGTTTTGGCCTGAAAAATTCTGCTGCGGCAGGTGCTTTGTAGTGCCATTCATTTCAATGGTACCCCAAACACGCCTCCCACCCACAGTGTGATCGCCCGCACTGGAAAGCACGGTACCGCAATGCTGTGCTTTCCAGTGCAGTGCAATTGCAAAAAAGTGTGCATGCAGTATTATTCTGAAGTAAACTTTGTTTGTAACACTCCACGTGTGTATTTTATTTTAAATTAAGGATGGTATTTGTTTAATTTTTTTTATACCTGATTAATCAAAAAAATTATCGGCCAACTAATCGATTATGCAAATAATCATGAGTTGCAGCCCTAAATGAATGGGCTTGGTTCACACCACCACGTTCCGGTGGTGCGACTTAAAAAAAGTATGTCATATAGTACCTTTTTTAAGAGCACCGCAGTGAGACCGCATTGCGGTGAGCCCATAGAGCTGAATGAAATGTCACTTGTGACATATCAATAACGTTCTACAAAAAAGAAACAGTGGGGTCTATTCACAAGACGGCCGAAGCTACGGCCAGATCCTTCGGCAGCTTTGTGAATAGACCCCAGTATGATGTGTCTCAATCGAGTGCATCAGCACTGTTCTTCATTTACACTACTAAGAGCCGGCCTGCACAGATCCGTGCGGTGTGCACGGCCGTATCGGGCCGCTCCCGGAAAGGACAGGTACTGCGTGTGATTTTACGCAGCAGCCTGTTCTTCTCTATGGGAGTACACGGCTGTACACTCACCCGAGCTGCACATCCGTGCTGGTGCGGATGTCCGTACTCGTACGCAGACAAGATGGATCCTGTCTGTGTCCAAGCACAGACATCCGCAATGGCACGGATGTGCAGTTCGGGGGAGTGTACAGCCGCGTACTTCCATAGAGAAGAACAGGCTGCTGCGTAAAATCACACGCAGTACCTGCCCTTTCGGTGCGGCCCGATACATGCATGCCGCACGGATCTGTACGGGCCAGCTCTTAGCAGTGTGAATGAAGCCAAAGTCTGACTGCGTTTTTTATTGCTTTGTTAAGTCTCAACAGTATTTTGCAAATTAATGGGATCATGTAAACGCTGCTATAAAGCAATTAGCAGGCTACACAAGAATACATGCTACAGTTCCCGAATGTGCAGGCTTCAGCGATGGGATTCCCTATAGGACAGATTGGGCAGAGCACAACAATTTTAAGGGGTCTTTTACATGCATGTCTTCTTACATGTGAAGAGGTTAGGTACATTACAGTCCAGAATCAGAAGCATCTGGAACATAGTGGCTACAATTAAATTATGAATATGCTACAGATGCTTTCCTGATTGTGTATTGCTTTCTCCCAGTATATCGAGAGCTGGCATGCTGCAGATGGGTACTTCTACAGCAGGGCTAGGCAACCTCGGCACTCCAGCTGTTGTGGAACTACAAGTCTCATGAGGCATTGCAATACACTGACAGCTACAGACATGACTCCCAGAAGCATGATGGTATTTGGAGTTTTAAAACAGCTGGAGTGCCAAGGTTGTTCTACGGTGTGACATGAATGGGATACAGAAGGCAGGAGGGGTTAAACCTGAGGCCCAGCCACATCTCCACCCCTAGCTACACCATCCCCTCCCCTCATGTGTGCAGGCCGGGCCGTAGTGCTGACGTGTTATTGTTGTCACAGATGTTCCCGGTTTTGGCCCAGATGTGGCCTGGGGGACAGGGACAAAATACTCACCGTATAGTGAAGCTGAATGGTGTCCCCCATCTCAACACTGTCCACGCATGACTCTGGCTTCTCCTATGACGAGAAGGAGACAAATGATACAGAGCAAAAGACTCAATCACACAGAGCAACAGGAGAAATGAGGGGGGAGAATGGGATATGCTACAGAATGTGGCTATTGTATGAGGGCAGAAACAGAAACAGCAAGCTGCAATCTGGGAGTTTAACAGGTAAGAGAGGAGCTGAGTAATAATCGCCCATTGAGAGACCACAATGATGACAGGAGAGGCTATTACAGCTGATAACAAGGCAGCAGAAGGAGATCAGAGGAGTAAAGCATGCAGGAAGATGTAAGCATTGTGACAGCCAGGGATAAGTAATAGGCAGTGACAGGGGAGCAGCAGGGGAGACACAGGTGGAAGACTAGAGAGATGAGCTGCACACAACCAGGTACATCACAGCACAGGGGGGCTGCAGATTAAGCCAGGGGTACCAGGCACATAATGATGACTTTATTAGATGCAGGAATAGAAAGGAGTGAGGAGAGGAAACATTCAGCAAGAAAACTTCAATCAGCACAGTGAAAGGACTGCAATGAATCGCTGAACGCCTGTGACAGGAGCACACACAGGAGTCACTAGCGAACGATAAACATGATCGGGGTGTCTGTGCTGGCATTTACATGACATCAGGAAATTGGGGATGTGTGTAGAGAAGATCCCAGATGGAAACTTTGTACAACAGTGTGACAGGAGGAGTGCAGGCAGGAGGGTGACATGCACAGTCCTCATGACACGTAGGGGTCCATGTCACCTCCACCTGTGAAAGGTCATCAACACGTGGACTTATACTGGGGGCAGCACTTACCAGAGTCTCAATGCTGAGATCCGTGACATTTTCACTCTCCTCTTCCTCGGTGTCCGCCCAGATCAGTGCAGAGGAGGAGAGCAGAAGCAGCAGAAAAAGAGCCCTGAACATGGTTTGTAGAAGAGCACAGGATGGAGGGAATGTGACAGCTGCCGGAGAGAGAGAGAGAGCCAGCTCACTAGGAGCGTGGCACAGACAGAGGAGGAGGGGGAGGAGCCAACCACAGACCCGCCTCTAGTACCTTCCTACAACCCGTCCATCACTGTGCCTCCTCCCTCATACATCGCTCTGTCCTGTGTATTACACCTATTCAATTACCTCCTCCCTCATACATCGCTCTGTCCTGTGTATTACACCTATTCCATCACCTCCTCCCTCATACATTGCTCTGTCCTGTGTATTACATCTATTCCATCACCTCCTCCCTCATACATCGCTCTGTCCTGTGTATTACACCTATTCCATTACCTCTTCCCTCATACATCGCTCTGTCCTGTGTATTACACCTATTCCATTACCTCCTCCTCCCTCATACATTGTTCTGTCCTGTGTATTACATCTATTCCATCACCTCCTCCCTCTTACATCGCTCTGTCCTGTGTATTACATCTATTCCATCACCTCCTCCCTCATACATTGCTCTGTCCTGTGTATTACACCTATTCCATTACCTCCTCCTCCCTCATACATCGCTCTGTCCTGTGTATTACACCTATTCCATTACCTCCTCCTCCCTCATACATCGCTCTGTCCTGTATATTACACCTCTTCCATTACCTCCTCCTCCCTCATACATCGCTCTTTCCTGTGTATTACATCTATTCCATTACCTCCTCCTCCCTCATACATCACTCTGTCCTGTGTATTACACCTATTCCATTACCTCTTCCCTCATACATCGCTCTGTCCTGTGTATTACACCTATTCCATTACCTCTTCCCTCATACATCGCTCTGTCCTGTGTATTACACCTATTCCATTACCTCCTCCTCCATACATCGCTCTGTCCTGTTTATTACTACTACTCCTCTAC